ACATTTTCCCCTGTGGGGGACAGGGGTTTCCCAGCTGGGAAGGAAAACAACAGGGGGGCCCCCCCCCCCCCCCTCCCGCACACTGTCCCTTTGTTGCGATCAAAACGCCTTCCAGGGTGTACGGGTACGGCAACAGCGGGGGCGAGATCCCGGAGGGGTACATTGACGTGACCTTGCCGGGCAACCGTCAGCAGAAGATCTTGCACCCGGCGTACCCGGGATCGGTTTACCACACCACCAAGTGAGAGAGAGGGAGAGAGAGAGAGAGAGCGAGATGTTCAGGTAGGGTATGTAGGGTAGCTCAAACAGCTGTAGAACAACCAAGAGGTTTTTTAGCATGAGAGGAGGTATCTCTCAATCTCTCATTTCTCAACGGCTTCTGCGTGCTATCGTTCGTGGGATGCTTTGACGTTGGCGTCTGGGCGCTCGCTGTTGCCCGTTGGAGGTACAAGTATATACCATACACCTTTTCGAAATGGTTGTTGGTCCTTGAGGCGGGTGTGTGAGGTTTGGTGGAACTTGGGTGGCGTTCGCGAGCAGTGTAGTGTACATGTAGCGCGAAGAACGACAAAGCTGTTCGTAAACGGTGATCCTCCGCATTTGTTTTTGGTTGCGGACGTACGTTCGGGCTAGAAGTTGCTTGACCACCCGACGTGCAGTTTTTTTTTTTCGCAATCACGCGCGTCACTGCTGTCGGACGAGTCAAGGCCGTTTTTCACACGTCCGGGGCGTACCTTTGCGATGTGCCACAGATAACGCGCCATCTGTGTGCCCCCCCCCCCGGATGCGTGTTTAAGGGTTGTTGGCTTGTTGGCGACGTGCTCATGCGGCACATCTATCGTACAGCGAGCTCCTCGCCAAACGCTGACTGGCCGTGATGGACTCTCTCAAACCGAATGTGAAGTGCCGGGATGCCCAACCAACCCGTGGCATATCTGGTTCGGCGCATGGATGGCATGGATGGCCAGCTTCTGGTTCACTCTTGTGAACCATAGCCTAGGCCGGCTAAACCGGCATGTCCCGTGATTAGAGGTCTATGATATACAACAACGACTACGGCATACGTTTACATGAGCCCCCCCCCCCCCCCCCCCCTAAGAAACCCAAAAACCAACAATCCCGTGGGGACAAAGGTCCCCCCCCCCCAAGAACCCTCCTGGGTCAAGGGCCCAACCCCAAAGGCTGGCAAACAAAAAAAAACCCCCCCCCCCCCCC